CCAGTTTCTTAATTGAAAATGAGAATCATAATAGCTCCTCTGAACAGTGTTGTTATGAAATGTAAATGCAAAAATAAAATGACTTACAATAGGTGCTAGATTAAATGTTAGGTCCATGTCAGGCTTAGTCACAAATGAGAGGCTCATACTGGCTTTAGATGATTAAAAAAATAGTTGACTGAAAATTACTCAGTTGAATTCATTTGATGGCTGCTAATCAACCATTTTAGCCATTATATTCTTTTTAAGAAGAAATTACATCTTACTGCTTTTTTATTATAATTAAATGAATTTTTTCTATAGTTTCAATTCCTAAGTAGGTAATTATAATTAGACTGGACCTTGTAACAGTGTTTATATATAAAGACCATCTTTATATAGAAGAATTTGTTGCAAATGATGATATTTTTGGCAAACTACATTGATGATGAGTCAAATACAAAAAATACTTTTTATATACCACCTCTCAGATGATTGCTGAAAATCATGTTTGCAAAGAATGCTAAATGTCTGCATAGGCTGAAAATGCCTTGTGTTACTATATTCTCACAAGTATGGAAGCAAACATCATGTGCCTTTTGGCAAACAAAAAAAAAAGTTGAGGAGAAAGCAATTATCAATACTGGATTTGTGATTCATTAATAAATTAAGTAAGAAAAAAAGTTAAATTAAATTCAGCTTTTGTAGAAACAATCAAATCTTTCTTATCTGCAATGGAAGCCTACCTTATTTTGTTAATTATGAGTTCACTAATTATAAAATTCAATATTGATTAGTGATTTTTTCAAGAAAAATAATCCATCATATTAAATGTATTGATCAATTTTAAAATATGCCCTGACTTCAGACAATAGTAAAATATAGAAGCTACATACATTTTAAAATTGTAGAAATATGGTACATTGTATCTGAACTGGAGGAACTTGAAAGAATGAAATTCATTCCAAGAATAAACTTCTTAGTTTATTATTGGGAATAAAATGAAGATACGGATCACTTTTGGGGTACAATGATTCTCATTAACTCCACGTATCTTCTTTTGCTGTACTTCACCCCCATTTGCAAATTAACAGAATTAGAAAAATAGGAAAATTCCACTCCCCAGTTACAGTCATATTTTTAGCAGTATTATTGGGAAAAAGGTAAAAGAAAACCAACAAATATTAGATGTTCTCCAACAATCACATCAAAGAGTATTGCAGTTACAACCCACCAGACTCATGTTTTACAGAAAGGGTTACACATCAGAACTACTGAGATGATACATCATAATGCAAATACATTAGCCTGTAATGAATAAAGTAGAACTTCTAGGAGTGGATATGTGTATTTTTTTAAATCTCCACTTTGAATTCTGACACAGGGGAGATTTTACAAACACTATGGTGAATAGATTGGGAGATCTTTGAGAATGGAATCTGCCTATGCATTCTCTTATCTCCAGAGAAGTCCTGGCTCATGTTTAAAGTTGGTAAATGTGTGTTGAAGAATAAATATATGAATGGAGTGTGCTAAAGTCCTTATGTGATTTAAAATCACTGGAAGAGGTTATAAAATTCCTCAGTATAAATTGAGGCAATTTGGTCAATATACATAAGTTAGAAAATATATCATAGGGAATAAAGAAAGATGGTGTTATCCAAAAATATTTCACTGAGTTCTCCTTGAGGTAACTGATTTCAAGGCCCTATATAGATTTTACTTTTAATCCCATTTTACTTAATAAGAAAAATAAGACTCAAACTGATTAGTTTCAGAGATAAAAAAAAAAATCATTTAGAATATCATGAAGAATATCATTTAACTTAAATTTATACATTTATACAGAGAACTTCATTTTTATAACTGCTGAGTGACCCGAAAGGGTGAAAGTGTTTTTAATTCCAGTTATTAAAACAAGGAAGGAAGGAAGGAAGGAAGGAAGGAAGGAAGGAAGGAAGGAAG